TCCTTTTGATGAGCTTGCTTCTTGAGTGATGCTGTATGCTTCCTTTTATATCATGTCAAAAGGCACACAGTGTCCATCATCACACTTTTAAGGATGCTAAGATTTCCCAGTAGATTCAGTGATGAATACTGATATTTTTAAAAGTAGTTGTAATTTAAAAAGTAACTCATTGTCTTCTGTACAACTCCAATGTGTATGCACTCATTCAGAAAATCTTTATTTTCCCTATGTGCTTGACATTGTATAAGGTTATAAAGATGAAAAAGGCATGGTTGCTAAGTGAGCCCAACTTCCAGTAACTGTCAGTCTCTGTGGAAGACAGACATGTAAGCTAACTTCTACAGTATTTCTTGATCAGTGCTATGACAGATATATGCAGAAAGTATGAAAGTATTGGTGCCTGACACTGAATTTATGCGGTTCTCCCCCTTTTTAGGGCATACTGAAGAAGTAAAAGTTTTGTCTTTATTTCTCTTGGCTGAAATCAGAAATTCACCCCCCACCTCCCAGCTGCGTCTCCGATCAAGCGCCGTGGTATTGCCATCTGAGCGGTCCTATGCTCTGATCACTGAGTATGCAAACAGATTTAGCTTCCTCCTGGTGGGGACTTCTCTGGGTCTAGTGATGCAATTATGTAAGTGTGGGAAAATGTGACAAAGGGAAGTGCAAATGTATTTTCAGGAGCGTCTTTGCTAAGGAAAGTCACATGTTATCTCAAGAGGAACAAATGGAATATATACCCATATTTTGCTGTGTATAATGCATGCTTTTTTACCCAAATTTTTGAGGGGAAAATAAGGATGTGCATTATACATGGGCATAATGACTACATACCATGGTTGTAATAATCATGTGTATAATGTGCACGAAATCGTGGGTGAGCATTATACACGGTAAAATATGGTAACTAAGGCAAAAATTTACCCTTATCCCCATACACCAGTGCCTGTGTTTTAGGGATAATCAAATATGTACCTTTCATAGGGCCTACATTATGAATCTTTAATATTTTTATATATTTTTAAAATCTGCTTTGGACTTTGTGGATTCCTACCTGGAATATGAGAATAATTGCCCCTGAAACGAAGGCTCCCTAGGATGTGGTTTTTACTCAAGAGTTTTTACTAAGGCAAGGCAGGTGTATGGAGCAATGACTACCTTATTTTATGTGGGTTATTAGGAGGCCTATTATAATTTTTATTGCTTGATTCTATATTAACACATCAATGCCCACATTTCCCATTTTCTGAAAGGAATTTATTTTTCAGAGCAGTTTTAAAGGTCACATCAAAATAGGGAGGAAGGTACAGAGATTTCCCATATACCCCCTGCACCTTCATAGCTTCCCCCATTATTAACATCCCTCACCAGAGTAGTACGTTTGTCGCAATTGATAAATCTACATCAAAAATTAAAATTACCCCAAATCCATAGTTTACATTAAGGTTCACTCATAATGATGTACATTATGCATTTGGACAAATATATAATGGTATATATCCATCACTGTAATATTACACAATATTTTCATTGTGCTTTGCCGGGTTATTTCTCTTTAACACCCACATTCAGAAACCATTTAATTTTTTACTGTCCATAGTTTTGCCTTTTCTGTAATGTCATATAGTTGGAATCATACATTATGTCACCTTTTCAGATTGGCTCCTATGGTTCCTTTCTGTCTTTTTATAGCTTGACAGCTCATTATGATTTCAGTGTTGAATAATATTTCATTACCTGGATATACCACAGTTTATTTATCCAATCATCTACTGAAGTATATCTTGGTTGCTTCTAGGCTTTGGCGTCTATGTATCAAGCTGCTATAAACACATATGTGTGCAGGTTTTTGTGTAGACGTAAGTTTTTAACTCCTTGGGTAAATACCGTAAAGCACAATTGCTGGATTACATAGTAAGAATATGTTTGGTTTTGTAAGAAAAAGCCAAACTCTCTTCCAAAGTGGTTGTACCATTTTGCCTTCCCATCAACAATGCATTAGAGTGCCTGTTACCCCAACCTTCTGGTCCACTTTCTGTGTTGTCAGTGTTCCAGATTTTGGCCATCCTAATAGATCTGTAGTAGTATCTTATCTTGTTGCTTTAATTTGCTTTTCCCTGATGACTTAGAATGTGGAACATCTTTTCATATGCTTATTTGTCACCTGTATATCTTTTTTGGTAAAGTATATCTTAAGGTCTTTGGTCCATTTTTAATATGGTTGGGTTTTTCCGTTGAATTTTTAGTGTTCCTTGTATATTTTGGATAACAGTCCTTTATCAGATTTGTCTTTTGCAAATCTTTTTCCCCAGTCTGTGGCTTTTCTTCATTCTCTCATTTTTTTAAAAAGATCAAACAGTTTTGTAGAAAAAGGAAAACTAGTCTTGAATGCCAAGTCTGTAGAGAGCATATGCTGGGTAGTGTGAGGGGAAATATGGAAGGATATGTATTGATGCCTCTCTCAGTCTAGCTTGGAGGAATTGCAAATTAACATGAGAAGAAGAGTAGAGAGCAAAACAGGTGTTCAATTCTGTGTCAAATGCCGTAGTATTTAGTTGTCCAAAAAGTTCATTTAATTTTTTTCCATGCAATGGCTCTAGTAGTGCTTGATTGTCTTTAGCTTCACTTGAAACAGTTTTGTTAGACTGTATTGTGACAGCTGTCATAATGTGCATTTTTAAAAGAAGCTTATCAGAATTAGTGAATTTTTGTGCAGCCATTTTAATATTGAAATGGAGGAAAATACACATTTTCAGCATATTATGCTTTCTTATTTCAAGAAAGGCAGAAACACAATGGAAATGCCAAAAAAGTTGTTCAGTGTATGGAGAAGGTGCTGTGACTGATAGAACATGTCAAAGTGGTTTGTGAAGTTTCTTGATACTACTAACATTTTTGCCAAATAATTAATTGCTGTAGGGCCATCTTATGCATTGGAAGATATTTAGCACCACCTCTGGCCTCTACCCACTAGAAGGCAACAGCAGGAGACAGCCAACATATTCAAAATATCCGAATCACTAAAGTTATGGGTAAAAATGAAAAATGTGTCTTTTATTTTATGGAAAGAAACTAAAAAGGTTTTTTGGCCAACCCAATATATTTATTACAAGTTTACAGTTTAGCAAAAGATTGAAGGTGGACTGAGGTAGAAGTGGGGATCTTTGTGGAAGTTGAAATTAATCTGATTGACTTTGAAGGCTATAGGTAGATCTTCCACAGTAAGGGGGCGAGAAATGAAACTCCACCTGAGAAACAGAATTTGGAGTTACAAAAATTTTAGTTGATATTATAAAGGATAAAAGCATTGATTATGCTTTAGATTTATATCCTGAATATTCTCAAAGCCATTAAGAATGGGCTTTCTTTACTCTAAGGGACTAGGACTATAAATCCTTTATGGTTCCAAGTTATTCTGTTTATAGCATATGGCTGATTTGTGTGTCACAGAGTGTAGAAAGAATAAATTAGCTTGGCATATTTAAAACCAGGTAAGTCTATTATATCATTTTCCAAATATTGCACCTTGTCATTTAAAAAATATCCTAAAAACATATTCTATATGGTATATATTTCAAACTTATAGAATATTTGCCTTGTATTTTATTAGGAAATATCACCTTCTTAATGATTTAAACAATAAAAATATGCTGGTTTTTAAATTTTAACTTTACTTTTAAGGTCAGTTGTCTATAAAGCGTGTTGGACATATGTTATCATTACATAAAGGCATTTTTGAACACTGTTGTCTCAAATTTCCCATTGTTAAGGTCTTTCAGAAGGATTTTACTTTGTGTAGACTTGAGGATTGCTACTGCTTTTTACAGATATTGTTATCTATTTATCCGGAGCCACCTTTGTATCTAAATTATTACATGTGAAATCTGTGTTTTTACTCTACCTTTATAATTATTGATTTCTGTACCACTCCAGACTCAATTACAAGTGACTAAAACTCAGATTTAATCAAAATAAAGGGGACAGGGGTTTGGATGATGTATCTTATCCTATATCTGAAGGGTGTTTGGGTTAATGTCAAGCCCAGCTGTATCTGGATTTTCAAATGATGTTATCAGGACTGTTTCCATTCTGCTTAGTTCTGCTGGATTCAACCTGACTTCAGTTACAGGCAACGTTTTTTTCACCTAGAGGTGAAGTTCAAGGCCCACATATATGAGGTAGAGAAAGTTGATGCCCATGAGAAAGGATTGCCACTGTCATTTGGTGAAAGCAGGGGATTTCTGAAAGGAAAAGATGCTGGGCTGACAGAGAAGGAGGAGACATCACAGCAGGACCCATGGCTGGTCTTGGATACACAATGATCAGTTTGTGAAAATTGTCTTGGGTGGCACCCATCATCTCTTATGCATTAGGAAACACTGGGCTTGACAGATGATTAGGAGGACCCTAGTTCCTTTTTTCTAAACAAAATCAGTTGCCATCTTGACTCATAGAAAATGTATAAACTAATTTGAAAGCATGTTGTCACGCAAATAACCCTATTCTCAATGATATTTTGTACAGCCCGAGTTGAGCAAGTCAAATAAATATGTCCACCGCTCAGTTTCCTTATTTGTTTAAAGAATAATAATGCAGTTAGAGTGACTAAGCTTTGAGGTCATTTCCATTTAGAGAACTTGTGATTCTATGATTCTCTTGCAAAATTGATTACAGGTTGATTTTTCTTTTCTTTCCTTTGGAACAGGGATATTGAGTGGAAAGAGTAATTGCTTTCAGAAAGCTAAATTCTGTAAAACCTTGCGCAGTGATGGAAATGTTCCATGTGGCTATTGAGCACTTGAAATGGGACAGATGTGACTGCAGACATGAATTTTTCCTTTAATTTAAAATAATTTTGACTTAAATTAGAATAGCCGCAGCTCTAGAATTACCAACTCATTGAAACAAGACTTTGAGAAAGGGTTGAAATTAAAAGTAAAATCAAATGCATATGTCTGTGCAGTGAGTTTAAAAACAACAATTTCCTCCTTTCTTTTCAGTCTCCAGCACATAGCTACTCCAGCTATGACTCTGGCAAAAATGAGAGTGGAGACAGAGGCGCCGAGGACCTTTCTCTGAACAGAGGAGATGAAGATGAAGATGATCACGATGACCATGATGATTCAGAGAAAGTTAACGAGACAGATGGTGTAGAGGCAGAGCGGCTGAAAGCTTTTAATGTGAGTCCCGCCACACTCCCAGTGTGGCCTCATTTTTACCACTTCACTTTCATGTTGTTGCTTGTTGGTAAATGTGGATATTTTAGAGACATGTTTGTTTAATTTACAGAAGGATTTAAAAAGTACATGAAACACTCTTTGCCAACCAGACACCAGAATTGCTGTGTTTTGTTTAGAATTTTAAAGCCAAATGTGAGCTGAAAACGGGAGTTGTGTTGTGTGAGTATGCATGTTTACCTAGCGGATGAAGGGGGCCTCAGCTTATTTCTCCGAAGAGTTCGCCCGTCATCAGTTATTTCTTTTGCTTTCCCAGCTTATCTAATTATGCATGACAAAAAGAGTCAGTTGTTTGTTTGCAGAGATTAGTACACTGTGCAGTGTAGCAATGGAGCAATCGTATTTCTCTTTAAGAGAGAATTTTATGGGGTGCTTAATTGTCGCAGTCTACTGTTACTTCCTGATTTTTTTCTACACAATAGTCTATACTTTTCTGTCTGTCTGTGTCTGTCTGCCTTTCTCTCTTTCTCTCTCTTTTTTATCCGACCATTTAGAAAATCTTTAAAGGGTGTTTGCTTAAAATTTCTGGCTTTCCATTGCAAAGTTCTCCAGTGAATAAACCAAAAAAGAGTATTTTCCTATCAATAATCAAGACAGAAAGCTAGGAATAGCAGAGAGCAGCCCTCCAAACCCTTCTCCTCTGTCTCCCTCTTGCCAACAGATGTTTGTCAGGCTGTTTGTAGATGAAAACTTGGACCGAATGGTCCCAATCTCTAAGCAGCCCAAAGAAAAGATCCAGGCTATCATTGACTCATGCAGGCGACAATTCCCTGAGTATCAAGAGCGTGCCAGAAAACGCATACGTACTTACCTCAAGTCCTGCAGGCGGATGAAAAGAAGTGGTTTTGAGATGGTGAGTTTTGAATTAAAACACAGCCCTAGATTCCATCAAAATCCCACATGTACACCATGACACTTTTTTTTTTCATCTTAGTGTCTTTTTTTATTTTTTCCATAATGTCAGGTCAAAGGGGTTCTTGTTTGCTTGTTTGTTTTCTTCCCCTTCTCCTTTTCATCTTCCTGAAGTATTTATCCCCCTTGTTTATTCAATAAGGAATACCTTGTGAAACCAGTGCTCACAGGCCCAGATGATATCATGTCATAAGAAATGAGGGTGATATGAGTAAAATCCCATGAGAACCAGCATCTCATTCATGTTCATTTTCTTTCTGTTACTACTAAAGTGGATATAAGGTTAATCAAGGCTTGAACGGAAACACCAGTTGTTGCTTAGATGGCATGTGAGAATGGCTTTTTGTGAGATGAAAGGAAATGGATGAGTCCATCTAAGTGACACTGTTTGCATGCCAACGGTTAACAAATAGCAAGTCTTGAAAATAAAGATCAGGGCATGAAAATTCACATGTGAAAAAATAAGGCTTTGTTGTACTCAATGTATCTGTGTACTTGTGTATGGTAACATGACTTTTTATATTCAGCTGGGCTTTATAGATAGATCTGAGATTATACTAATGTTAGCTTACTTATGGGTACAAATCAGATATTGATGTTTTTTTTAAACTTGATTGTATTTCACCTTGCTCTCTAATTGTTACACCTATAAAGAGTGCATATATTTACAATATATTTTTTAATTTCTTTGTTTTTTTATGTATGTGAGCAGAAATGTATTGGAAATTTTCTGAAATATTTTCCTCCCCTTGGCTCCATTAAAGCCAAGACCGTCAGTGTTTGTGATCTGTGACTCTCGCTTATTCCGTGTGATGGGGCAGGAATTGGTGTGGACAGGAGAGGTTTCAGAAGATGTCATATATATGAGAAATCATTTTTCAACTGTAAATGAAATGACAAAAGTAACAAATACACTGTGTACTATTGATTTTTCTACATTGGCTTGTAAAAATGTCTTTGACATTTTTTAAAAGGAAAATGACTTTTCCTATAGAGAAGCAGTCCTCTGCCTAGATGGTAAAGAGCACCAGGTTGGGTCCCCAGGGGGCAAGTCACTTCAACTGCCTGTACTCAGACGCCTCTCTGAGATGATAATAATTCCTAAGTTATGAAGCTATAAGGATGATATAAATTGTCACATGTAAAACTCTGCAAGACATTTCTGACACACAGTAATCACTAAATAAATTTTAACTCTGAAAATATTATCTATCAAATATTATTTAATTCATCATCTGAAAAAAGCTTACCAAAATGTTTGCAGTATACAATCACAGCACCCTCCATTTCAGTAATTGCTTACTTCTCAGAACAGCTACACTGAAATCAGTTTGTGATGCGGAAGTCATTTTAAAATAAAAGTGGCATAGCTGTGTCTGATCAAGCTGAATTATAACAATAGAGGTGACATGATATAAGAGAGGAGAGATACTTGAAAGAAAGCTATTTTCCCCATTACTGAATTATTAAAAAATTATCACCTACCCAGTAGGAGAAAGATGATAGACAAAAAGAATATCTAAACAGGTGTTAAAGCCCAGAATACTGGCATTGACGTTTGATCTGGTTCAGGACTACTAAGCAGATGATATGAAATTTCAGTTAAAACTATGTCTCATTCAGAGAACAAAGTATAATATATTCCTTCCTTTTTTAGTAACAATAAAAATAATATTATATGTCACTATTTTTTATTTTAACAGTATCTGGCATTACTATTTATTCCTAATCTTTTAATGTTTAGAAATTCTTCTCTTTGGTAAAATTTGTTATTTTTCATGGTACAGTTTTTTTTATTAATCATTATTTTAGAGAAAAAAGTCATTGTCATGTAGAATTCTTAATTTCTCCAAAGCATCTTTGAGACATTTATGGGTTTTTCACATTGATTGCATTTATTTACCTCAATAAACATATATTTGTTGTAAACCTTGTGCTATGCACAGAGAACAAAAAGTTGACTTCTCCAAAGTCAAGTTGTTTTATAAACTAATCTTATGCTCTCAAAAATGCTACTAAATTTAAATTTAATAATTGTCAGTTTATTCAATATATATATAATGCACATAACATCATATGAAGTAATAAGAAGAAATAGAAGCCTGGCCTGTTAATTAGGAAAATATAACATGCTCCCTGATTATTATGATTCATTAAGGTAAAAGTTGTGGGAAGTGAAATGCTTAAGATAGTATTCAAGGCCTAACATAATTGTTAAATGAACAACATGGATGAAAATTGATAGTGTAGTTTAGCTCATTTTTTATTCATTATTCAGTAATGGGTTACCAGAAATAAAAAAAGTAAATCTACCATCTAGTTGACACTTGGAATTTTGATTTGTTTTATGTATTGCTTCATTGCCATAGAGAGTGGGAGGATTATGTGTCATTTTGAGTAGTCATCCTTATCTAGAACAGATAGGAAAAGGCATGAGGAGGACAGATAGTCATCACAACTAAATATTGTACACGCATACTTTTGCCATCATATATTTTTAAATTTAGCATAATATTAACAGGTCTTTTTAAAAATAGAAACAACATTACACAACTCTTTTTCTATTGTGTTTAGTGTAGGTAGACATGAAAAAAATGGATCATTTACAGTATGTGATTGTTTTTACATGGAAATTGTTACATTATTAATAAGTCAATAAGGAAACCTGAAGAAGTTTTTAATATAGTTTTAAAAGGGGACTGTTAAGTGTAGTATTATTTGGTAGGGGATTCTGTATTATAAAATGGAACCAGCATTCAATAAACTTAGTTCTTCCAGTGATTTGGGATGTCTAAGCCAGGGGACTACTAAATGGAGTCAAATACTGAATTATACGTTTCCTGCTGACTTTGATTAAGAAATTCAAAGAAGTATTCCCATAGAAGTGCTTTATTACGGAATATTTTAGTACTGTACTTGAGAATCTTGGCATTCCTTTGACTAATTTTCTGCTGTCATTAATACAAAATCTATTCATGTTTAATTATTCTACACTATCCTTCAAGAATTTACATTTCAACACAAATACTTTTCATTGACTGCCTGCAGTAATTAGAGTGCATATTTATGCATTCTTATTTAACTGGAATTATCAAGACCACACAGATTTTCATGGCTCACGCAGCCAAAATTTCTGTCATGACTATAAATATTTTCTATAATATATGAAATATAATAACTGTATTATGATACTTTCTACACATTTTCACATTATTACAATTCATTGTTACCAAACATCTCAAATCATAAAATCTTTGGTATTGAATACAAAAGGGCATGTAGTATGAAAAATAAGTCTAATAAGTTTGATCCAGACTACTGTCCTAGTTTTCATTAGGTTTTAAAAACAATGAGTTAAACAACTATTAAATTAATCCTTAGACAAAAATATCAAATTGTTATTGATTCTGTTGTGTGGCTTTGACAAACTACTTAAGCTGGATTTTTGAAGAATATTTGTTCATTGTTCCAGAAAAGAAAGGTATTTTTTCAAGGTCCTATATATTCATGAGCACTTAAAATAGGTGGGGTTGGCCCACACCTGCGTTATGTGATATGATTTCTATTTTAGTTTTCTGAGTTTGTGTTGTTAGAGACTCTTTCACCACACTGCAGAGGTTTAATACATATTTATAAAACTGAAATGAAAATATTTAGGGGAGATGGTCTCTTAAGACTCTCAGTCCTTCATTCCTCCTACATCTCATATTTTGCCACCGTACCAAGTTAGATCAAATATCCTAGGCATTTGAATTCAGGAAACTCAGCCTCTTGAAAAATTATTCATTTACTTTTTAATATTATATAATTGACTAAGTGTGTTTGAAGCAATAAATCTCATGCAATGTTTTTGTAAAATTTTGCCATGAGCATTGTCCACTAGGTTACTTAATATCCACTACAAATTACTTTATTTCAGAAACTTCTAGAAGGTAATACAAGAGAAAAGTTTCTTCTGCAGGAATAGAGTGCTTTTATATTTTCTCATCACTAGGACTTAGTTCACTTTTATGCCTTGCTGCCAGGAAGTTCAGAGTCTAAGATCCCGATATTTTTGCTTAATTTATTACAGTGTGCATATTTCCTTGGTGGATCTGATATCTATTATAGGGGAAACTGAGATATAAATTTTAAAAACAAATATGTACATAATCTAATTATGGAAACACCATACTTTCATATCATCTTCTAAATTCTTATTCTTAGTATTTCTTTTTCATTACATCCCATGATAAACTATTCAACAATTTTCATGTCTGACCTTCTGATCTTATGGTTCTTTCATCAGAAAATAAATATTTAATGTTTAGGAAATGGTACATTTTTAAGGGAATTTGACTAATCACATCATTTGCTCCTACTCATCTAATGCAGCCCAAAGTAGAGGGATCATAATTTGTTTTTAATTCACAGCTTTCCTGATGTCAGAAACATTGCAAAAGCTACAGTGGCACTTGCTGTTCCTTTTCAGCAAGTAGAGATATTACTAAAAATTAATTGGAGTGCTTCTTTAAACTAAATATTTGACCAGAAATATACCTATCCCTTCATACAAGAACTTGATAAAAACTTTATAAACCTGTACAGCCAGTATTGTTTAGAATATTACTCCGTCAACTATCCCATTTCTTCCACATTTTGTTTTCCTTTTTCACTAAGAAGAATATTTCTTCTCTTGTATAAAAATGTTTCCAGATTCCAAGGAAATATTTAATCTCATAACTCCTCTTTTACAATCTGAGTCTGTCTTTCTTTGCTAGATTTTCTGAAAGATTATTTTATACTCATAGATCATGCCCATGACCACCAACTCTCTTGGTCATTCCTCACATTAAAATTCTGGTTCTCATCATATTGAATTAGTTCCTCTGAAGATCACATGACTACTTTTGCACCAAAGCCAAGGATTGCATCCTCATTTTCATAAATCAGCCCCATTTT